CTGTGAATTACAATAATAATCTACAATATTTTTTTTATTCATTTTGACCCCTTTTCCTTTTGGTTATTGATTTTTTTTTAATTTAGTCCTTATATGATGTGTTTATAGGGATTTTATTTGATAATTTATTTTAATTTACCTTTTATATGGTTATCGTAATATAAAAAAATCCTAGCATTGGGTTGGTGTTAAAAAAATATCTTAGCATCGCGGTATGATTTTTTTTGTTTATTTAATGTAGTTAAATAAAAGATTATTTAAAAAAAAACTAAGTTATTAAACTTTGTAGAGTCAATGACCTGGTTTGCGAGTTTGACAAAGTAACCCTAATTTTCTCAATTCAGGGGTTTAACTATGGTTTTTCATTTTAATAATTGAAATTGATTATGTGATTATTTATCTTTTCTCTTTATCATATAGTTAAAAAAATGGTTTTGGAAAAAACATGTTATTAAATTTTAGAAAGTTCATTGGCTTGTTAGAAAAAAAAAACAAGTTATTAATTCCATTGGAGTCTATTATCCAGTTTGCGATTTTACATGTTGACTCGAGTTACTCGATTAATGGATTTTGCGAGTTTACCTATCAAACCTGATATGCCTGTTTTTTAGTTTTGGTCCTCTAATTTTTTTAATTTTCTTTATTTCATTCTTCTTAAATATTAGATTGGTTGATAAATAGAATTCATGATTTATTTTTTTAATACTTTTTATAGGATTATCACAGTCTCAAATATATGTTTTTCTTATGGTTGGTGCTTAATTTTGCAAGCATCTAATTTTATCATAAAATTAAATAAAAATAATTTAAAAAATCAATAAAGTTATTAAACTCATTAAAGTCCATGATTCAAGTCGCAGGGTGATCAAGGTCGATCTAATTTGACATTGTTTCAATATTAAAAAAATGTCATTTTGATTTTTACTTAAAAGTTATGCCATATTTTTACCGGTCATTCAAGTTTTCTTTAAACTCATTAAATTGAACGATTCATTTTGGATCAACTTTCACGGAATTTAATTCAAAACTTGAGTTAGACAAGAAGCCGAGTTGATAGATTTTAAGATCAAACCGCAGTGAAGCACAAGCGAATATACTAGTTTTATTCCTACATAATGTTCGATATGCTCTAAAAAGACATCATATTTTAGTTTATATATTGGTTCCACTTAAGCTTGGGTTTGCTATATATTTTAATGAAAGTATAGTAACTTATATTTGAAAACAAGTTTATTTGGCTATGAACATTTCTTAAATGGTTTTATTTTATATTTTCATGAAAGTATAGTAATGTAAGTTTTTTCTTATTTACATATTCTAGCTATTACTAGATTGATGGCCTGTGCTTTATCGCGGGTAGGGCTAATTTCTTTGCAGCTAAAAAAAAAAAAGCCAAAACGCCATCATTGTATTTTATAGAGTGAAAGAAAATCAATAACTTGACATAATAAAAAGATAATAAAAAAAATAATGACTGTCAAACTCCATGAATCAAACTATAAAATGATTAAATTAAGGAAAAATTCCATTAAAAAAAAGTATTAAAAAACAAAGCACTAATAAAACTAAGTGATGTCATCAAAACCCACAAGTAGTAGTATCATGTCAAACCTTAAATAGAGAAAAATATTGAATTGAAGTGCAAAATCAAAAATAAAAATCAAGTTCACAAAATAATAAAAACAAATACAAAGAAAATCAATTTTTAACGAACTTAATGATGATTAATGAAATTTTTAAAAATAATTAAAAATAGCTGAAGCGAACCCAGTCCAACTTTTAAAATTTGTAACACAAATTATGAGACCAGATCTCAACATAAAGGTAAACAAAAAAATAACAATGTAAAATTCTAAACCAACCAAAATAATTAGGGATAAATATGATTTTTTTAAAAAGTGATTTAAAAAATATAGATTTGAAAAGAAACGAAACCAAATTTAACATAAAAAGGAAAAAAAAATCATAAGGGTTGTGAATTGAAAAACAATTTCAATTAAGAAAAAGATAAAGACAACTAAAAATAACAATAAAAAAAATAAGAACTATATTTGATATAAAAATAAAATATCAAAGAATGAAATCCAAAGGAAAAAAACATCACAATTAAAAGAATAGTCAAATCTAATATAAAAACAAAGTTTACAGAGATGCAATTGAAAAAATAATTAACTTAATAAATGATCTGAGACCAAATACATTTTAATTAAAAGAATAAAGATCAAATCTGATATAAAAATAAAATATCAAGCGATGAAATTGATAAAATAAATTAACTTAATAACTAATTCAAGACTAAATACATTGCAATAAAAAAAATAAGAACATAATTTAACTTAATAAACAAATAACTAGACATCTTTTTTTTGTTTTTGTTGTTTTTGCAATAGCCAACATGTTTTTCTAGGTAAAAAAAGATAGAAGAGGGAGGAAGGGGAAAATTACTTCTTGGTGCTTCTCCAAGTTTTGCCAGTGAATATGCGCCTCACCACTATGATAGGAGTGATGAGGCTATCATAGTGGTGAGGCGCATTGAATGCATCCCCGAACAATAGTATTCAGCATTATACAAATATATGCTATTATATCTTTAAATTTAAAATGAATTTATATATTAAAATACAAAATCACCTCTAACCCCATATAAGAATTACAAAAAAAAATCATAGCAAACAATTTAAAATGACCTTGCATCCATAATAGAGAGATTTTATGTCTTAAGGATATTTAAGTAACTGACATACATAACAAATTAAAAAGCATAAAAAGCCCCTAAACCAAAATGAATTTTTTAAAAAGTTATGTAGTAATTATACTATAAAAAAAATATAAAATTACTAACTAACACCCTTCTTTACTCTAATTACTGATAATTCTTGTGAAAAAGAGCCATATAACCCTAAAGCTAACCTTGCCCACCAAATGCAAAAACAGCCAATAACTGTGGAGTTGCTTAGTGAAAGGCTGCCTTTTAGTTTTCCAGGTGCCTTTTAGTTTTTTAGTTTATAGTTAATAAGAAAGATGTGAATATGTGGCATGCTATTCTAGGTTATATAGATCAACAACGAATAAAAGATTAATCAAAGTTGGCTTATTAAAAAATATTGATAAGATAAATTTAAAAGATTAATTAAAGTTGACTTATTGAAAAATATTGATAACATAAATTTGTTTACTTAGGTCAAGAGCCGAATTTTCATTGCAATTAATTCATTTTAACATCCATGGTCCAATATTAGGGCAATTTATATTATTATATTTATACATGATTTTACTTGGTACGATTATATCTTTTTGATATTTTATAAATTTAAAACTTGAAGTATATTTGAGAATCAATAAAATAAGAAAATAAAAGCATTCAAAAACTAATCAAGAACGTGAATATTTATCTTATCAATTTGGAGATTTATGTTAAGAAAAGAGAATAGAATGACAATTAATTATTTCTTAAACACAACAACAAAATGGTATTACAGAAAAAAGAAATAGAACCCTTCCTGATGTTTTTCCAATCACATATTAAAGTGATGCATTACTGCGTAGATGAACAAGAAACTGACATGTAGTTGAACAAGAAACTCATTGAATTTAAATATAGAGATATAACACTCTCAGAGAATAATTTTACCAAATAGGAAGAGATAGGTCGACTTATCAGGACCAAATTGCTTCTGCTATATAAACCCTACTGGATTCACTTCCAAGCGGGAGAAATTCGAGAGGTTAAGAAATTAGTGAATCCATATGGTTGCTGGTTCAAGTAGGAGCAGCAATAAAATTGATTTGTCAATGTATCAAGCTCAACTACTATGAAAAGGTCGTAAAATCATTCCTCATCATCATTATGAAGTTGAAAGGTAAGCTTTTAACCTGCCCAGCTAAGATGCCTTAGCAGCTAAGATGCATGCACAACAAGAAAGAACTAACCATGTGGAGACATTTTCATCTCCTGTATGGTTTACCTTAATAATATTAATTCTATCTATAATAATTTACTTAGACCTTGAATGACATCAAATGAATGTGAGGATGCCTTTCTCAATAGAGAATTGGAAGAATAAATCTATACGAAACAATCTATAAGTTTCATCAAGAATGACCAAGAACACGGTGTAGGATTTTAAAGTCAATCTATGATCTAGTTTTCGTAATTCAATCATGCCATATGGTTTCTATGATCAGTGAAGACCATTGTAGTTGAGATTTTATGAGATTGATCAAGAAAGTAACTCCCTCTTTCATAAGAGCTGTACATGTAGAAAAATCTTGAGCAATTTAATATGATAGATTTACAAAATCACAAACACTTCTATTTTAAAGGGCGAAGCCTTGAGTAAAAAACTGTGTCCCCCAAGACTCAAAAATAAATAAATAAATACATAAATAATAAAAAGACCAAATGTGCAAAGTTCCTTGTGCTAGTGCAGTTGAAAGTTTGATATGCTATGATGTATACATGCATGATATTTGTTATGCCATTGGTCTAGCAACTAGATATCAATCTGACCCAGGACAAGACAAGCACATTGAAAAACAGTGAAGAGAATACTCAAGTATCTAGAAAGCATTATTTATTATGTTATCAAGGAAAAGAGCTGCATTTGAAAAGCTACACCAAAGTTGATATGGAGGAAATTTAGATGAAAGAAAATTTAAGGTTGAGGTAGTAGAAGGATGAAGCATACAGCTGAAATACATTGTTCAACAATTTCAGATACACTCAGATCACTTTGATAAAAAGGACATAAAAGAAAAATAATTGGAAATTTCATTAACAAGATAAACGCATCAAGATGTTGATAAAAAAAATAAAGAAATAATCAAAGATGAAATAACAGATAATGAACGATATCCACACATCAACTCCATGTTCATGCACATCAATTTCTTTACCATAACTACCAGGGTTCAGATTCTTAAAGATAAGGTGAAGTTAATAAAATTCGCATTTGAGAGATTGAGATAGATACAAAGATAGATGCAGAGCGACACGGAGATACAAATAACACATCTTATCTGATCATACAAGTTCACAAAGACATGTTTCCAACAACAGAACAATTTAACACGCAGCATCTGGAAGCTTTGAAAAATATTAGATTAAAACTTGTTCAAACATGATTTCTTCCAAATTTCCATTCAAATCAAGTCAATAGCATACATCCCATGTCATTTGAAGGGAAGTTTACATAATCATGCACCACTTGCGTATAAACGGGTCCACTCCTTAGCTGCAGAGTTCAACAGTAGTTTGCAACAAAATATCAGGACTAAACCAACACGCCTGTTAGCGTTGTTATTATAAAGCTTGAGGAAAGTAAATTCCAGAGAAACTGGTATGAACTTAATAATTGGAAATATCGACATTACCTGTCTCAACAGCTTCTGCCTCGTTCATTTTCCAATGCTTTGCAATGTTCTCAGAAAGTGGATCATCGGGGTTTGGGGCGCTAAGAAGTGCTTGGATACTATCAAACCCAACATTAGAAAATTAAATACTCTCATGTCTAGCACATCAAATATCTCTTCCTATAAAACTCATCTCATATTTTCCCCTCACAGTGGCAGTTAATTCTTCAGTGGAAATGGAGTGGGAAAAGAAATAGAAAAAGTAAAAGTGCATTAAAATCTTTTAATGTCTAGTTCATCAGTCCCTAAATTGCTAGGGATCAGTTGATCAATCAATCAAAACATGAGTGCTTACTACCACAAGTTTCAACACGGGCTTAATCTCAATAAAAAGTATTGACAATATTAAATTGCAGCTCCTAGTACCTCAAAAGTACGGTTCGTATCTGAAGAGCAGGGCTCCATTTGTCTTTCAGAATGTCAAGGCATATCCTTCCAAGCTACATAAGAAACTTGCAGTGTTAGAGAAAAGAAATAACAAGTCTTAAACCTAAAAAAGAGAGAAGTGGGGATAATAGGGCCTACCTTATCAATGTTAGGATGGTATATTTTCGTCAGAAATCGAACCTGTAACAGATTAATAATAATAATCAGAAAAAAAGGAAAAAATGCTGCAGCAAATTATGATAAACAATTTACATTCGAGAACTCCTGGCATAAACAGACATTGCTTAAGAATGTGCATCAACAAAAGATTGGAGATACATGCAGAGTGTGACAGTTTGCAGGCACCAAAAGAAGCAGTATATGATGACTTTTGTAAACTAGACCATGTTAAGATAAGCAGGCCATACCAGAAGTCTAAAATTGCCTGATTTGTATGGTTTCACGTTGAATTCAAAACTACACCACTAACCAATTCAATTACATTGACTAGGTTAAGATGCTAGAGAAATGTTTAAATTACAAGTAAAAAAGAAAATGCTTCACTTGTTTAAAACATTTACTGTCCACACAGACCAGGTCACTCAGGTCTTAACCATGTCAACTTATTAATAGATAACAATGGTTATTCCCAGCGTATTTCCATTTTTGGGTTTCATAAGGGTCAAAACATGCAGAACAGCCCAAGCAAACCTCGTGTAGACATGTTTATTACAAAATCCACATGCTGCTATTCCACCTAAATAATTAACGGGGGGGTCAACCAACCTAATAAGTTCTCCCAACACTATGCTTCTTCAACCCAAATGTTGTTTTCCAAGTCTAACCACCCTGATCCTAAATTTTAAGAATCTATAACAAACACTTCAGAACAATGGATATAGTGCTATATCCCCTACCATCTATTTACAAAATGAGTTTAAGAGGATAAAATAAAATAAGACAAGACATCTGGATAAATTAAGCACCAAACAACTAAGAAATGCATTAAAACATTTCAAAATATAAGCAAATTAAATATTATGAGAAAAAAGTGAGACAAAAACAAATCCCCAAGACTAAGTGCTACACATTCTAAACTCTAGCAAAAAAAAATTCACATTTATTTGTAATTCAGCATCCAATATAACATAAAAGTGAGATTTTGGGAAAGCACCACAATGGAAAAACCAACTTGAGGTACCTTTGGTGCGGCCATCGGATATTCTTCGGGCAGAAATAATTCCAGCTTGAAAACCCCTCCTAAACAAAGAACACAACCAAGGCACACATCAAAACAGGCATGCAAAAAAATTGCAAGGAAAGGAGATTAACATGATATGGAGGAAAATAAGATTTTCTTTCCAAAACATTTTAAACAGTTTAATGGACCAAGCAAATAGCAAAATAAAATGAAATTCAATAACTGCATTCATCCACTTCAAAATCGTTTCTCTCAAACTCAACCCTATAAAAAGCAAAACAAAAGTTACTTAACATTAAAGGAAATTCTCAAAGACATGCACAGGCCACCTCTCATCTAACCTACCATTCTGCAGTATCATAAATGGTAGCTTAACTATTCTTGGAAATTCTAAGCACTGGAGAAAAATGATTAATCATCTTGCAAGGGAAATTCGTCAATGCTTCTTTGAATGCAACTAGAATTTTTTCTGTTTTAATAATTCATAAACAACGCTTCAGAAACTGATGCTTAAAGCAATACCCTAGCCACTGGTTGACATCTGAGCATCCAAAGTAATGAGATACAGCTAAAATAATCCATTGCATGAACATTAAGTCCTGAACCAACTCAGTCTAAAAGCCAATTCAAGTCCCGATAAGCAAGAAGCAGTTGTTATTAGCCATCACTTGTCTCAACTCTGACAAGAGTCTTCACCTCAACACCACATTAGTAACTGCTCGTAGAGTAAGTTAATGTAATACACAGTATATAACAGTATAAACACAATGACTATTTGAAACAGTCTCATACTAGCCATATCACAAAGGATGCAAGTCTATCCCTCTTACTGTGATATACTGTGGATTTACATGCCACATGATGTACTTAGAGATCTCCAGCTCCCATGACCTTGCTTACATTATAATCCAACAGCATGCCACACAGTTTACATGAAAAAAATCAGAACACAGCAATGATGCAAGTTATGCTCATAAATAACTGAATCTACTGTATACTACATCAAGTGTGTAAGAGCAACCAAATGGCCCAACCTCAATTTTAGCTTAGCAATAGATTGAACTTATTAGTAATCAATGACTTGAGCCTAAAAACTAATTAAATTTTCTCACAGAACATCTGCCACATTTCCATGAGCTTGCAATATGCAATAGGAAATTTGTTTCAAGTCAACTATGAACTTTCATTATCACTAGGTACAAGCATTATTATATGCACAAAGGGAAATATGGAAGAAGACATGATAAGTTCCCGTTTCTAGTGCAGTCTCTTAATCAAGCACTGTTATCCATTCAAATTGCTGGATCTTGTTTAGTTTAATTATACTACAAATAATAATTAGAAAAGAATACACGATGATAAAGGGGCAAAATGACTATGAAATCCCAATTTCACATACAGAAATTATCAACAATGTCTTGAAGAGCAAAGAGTTCAAGCATTCATAACCCAGCTAGCTAGGGTTGGACCATACAGCCACATAGTTTAAGATGATTAGCAGCACTCGATTCCACATGAAGAGCTATTGGATTAGCAAAATACAGATGGATGAGACTCAAAGCACCAAATGCCAAAAGAAACACAACAGAGTTTAGGCACTATAGTGATACTTTGATTCATTTCAACCCATTTTACAACTTTGCTCTTCCACATGGAAATTGAAAGCTAAAACATTAAAGGGGAAAAACTTAAAGCATGATGATCAATAGAAAATCATAGTTTTGAATAATCATTTCTACATTATTAAAAAAAAAATACCTTCATATGGAGATTGCGTTGGGCCAAGAATCATGACATTAAAATATCGCATATTATCCTCAGAAGGTGAAGCACTAATTCCCGGAGCTGCCGGTGGTATCAGTAAATCACAAAAATTAACAAACGATGACTACCAGAGTATAATAATAATAATAATAATCAAATTTTCACACAAATAATAATAATTCTCAAAGTTTCACACAAACAAATCACTACTCCAAAACCATAATTTATTACTGAGTTAAAAAAAAAAGAGTCAACTTCCCACCTGGTTCACTGAGAAGACGTTGAGTTTCCTGTTAGATCACAGTTAAAAATAACGAAATAAAAATAAAATCTTTGAAACCAAGAATCAAATAGAGCAATAAATGAAAATTAGAGAGAGCGTACTCGATTTTTCCTTAAAAATGGAAACCAAACAGAGAGAAAGAAAGCGATGGATCGGAGGACATACCTTGATGATTCTACGAGGGAGATTACTGTTGGCCATTTTTGTTCTGGAGGTCGATTGCAAACGACGCTACTCTTCACAAGGGTTTTCTTAGAGAGAGAAAGAGTTTTTCTTTTCTATTCTGTTCTTTTAACAGATTCTCTCACTAAACACGAAATAAAAAAATATATTGAAACTCTTTATATGCAAGCTGGTGCTGCTTTTTTATAATTTAAAGATACCTTTCAAAAGAAGACACTACTTTTTAAAATATTTTTTAAAAAATATTTTAAAATATATATATTTTTAATTTTTTAAAATTTATTTTTAATATTGGTATATTAAAATAATTTAAAAATATTAATTTTAAAAGATTAAATTTTAAATAAATAGTGTTTTGGTTGAAATGTTAAACATTTAAAGTATGTTTGATATTGTGATAATTGTTGTGATTTAAAAAAAAAAATTATAAAAAATATTTTTAGTTAAAGTTGTTTTAGAAACATATATTTTTTATTAAAATTGTAGTTGAAATTAAATTTGAATAAAAAATAATTAATGTGTTTAGTTAAAAATGTTTTTCAAATTGAGATTATAAAACAACTAAAAAAAACATCTTTTAATATTAAAGGTGATCATTTTTCTATTCGATTCAGTTTTTATAAAAAACAACAATTAAATTGGTTTTTTTAAAAAACCAAAAGCAAACCAGAACTGGTTCAAACTAACCGGGTTTGGTTCGATTATTTTAGAAAAAACCGGTTCAAACTGGTTTTGTTTGGTTTTTTTGGTTTTTTCCGATTTGGCTTGTATTTTTTTGTTTGGGTTCGATTCAATTTTTTAGGTTTTAGGCCTATAAACTAGAACTAAACCGGTTGATTTTTTCAAAATTCTAATCAGTTTAATTGGTTATTTTTTTAGTTTTCTCGGTTAAATTATTTTTTCAGTTTTTTTATTCTAAATCGATTTTTCAGTTTTTTTACTTACCCTTAATTAATATTAATAATTTTTAATTGAAATATTATAAATGTAACTACTGCTATTACATCATAAAATAAACAATACTTTATATAAAATATTTTTTATTATTTCATTAAATTATTTGCAATTCCATCACATACAAAATCTATCCGACAAGGACTACAGTTTTCATGGCTTCTTGAACATGCAACAACATTAGGTAAAATATCACCGCATAAGGTAAAATATAATTAGGAACAAATTTTTTGGGTTGTGATTAAATTTTGCAAATGTTACGTTATTATGTAATCTCTTTCTAATATAATTCTGTAGTGTTATTGAATAATGTTAAACACTAGTTTTTCAAATAAAACACCATATCTGAGAATTTTTTTTATATTTTTTATTTTACTAGGTCAGACCCAGACACCGGACATTTAGGTTTGAGCCGGACTTGGTCCAACCATGAACAGTGGAGATGTTCTTCACTGTTCACATGTAACGTGAACAATGGAGAATGCAGAAGATGAAGGAGAAAGATAAGGGAAAGGAAAAAGAAAGGAGAAAGAGCAATGACTGACAGTGAAAACAGAGAAGACCGGTGGTGAACACTCTCCACTATTCACAAGCAATGTGAACATTGTAGAATGAAGAAGACGAAGAAGAAGGAGAAGGGAAAGCGGAAGAGCAG